TTTGTTGTTCTTGAGAAGAAGATTTTTAAAGATTTTTCCTATATATTTCTATGTAAAACTTTGATCCTTCATTGTGGTCACGTCCTACCCCCGGGGGTCATGGTTTGTACAAACTTGAATCTACACTACCTGAGGATGCTTCCATATAAATATGACCCATCATGGCTTTGCTGTTCTTGAGAAAAAGATTTTTAAAGATTTTTCCTATATATTTCTATGTAAAATTTTGATCCTCCAAAGTGGCCCCGCCCTACCCCCGGGGGTCATGATTTTAACAAACTTGAATCTACACTACCGGAAGATGCTTCCATATAAATATTACTCATCATGACTTTGCTGTTCTTGAGAAGAAGATTTTTAAAGATTTTTCCTATATATTTCTATGTAAAACTTTGATCCTCCAAAGTGGCCCCGCCCTACCCCCAGGGGTCATGATTTTAACAAACTTGAATCTACACTACCAGAAGATGCTTCCATATAAATATTACTCATCATGACTTTGCTGTTGTTGAGAAGATTTTTAAAGATTTTTCCTATATATTTCTATGTAAAATTTTGATCCTCCAAAGTGGCCCCGCCCTACCCCCGGGGGTCATGATTTTAACAAACTTGAATCTACACTACCGGAAGATGCTTCCATATAAATATTACTCATCATGACTTTGCTGTTCTTGAGAAGAAGATTTTTAAAGATTTTTCCTATATATTTCTATGTAAAACTTTGATCCTCCATTGCGGCCCTGCCCTACCCCCGGGGGTCATTGTTTGAACAAACTTGAATGTACACTACTTGAGGATGCTTCCATATGAGTTTCATCTTTCCTGGCCCTATGGTTCTTGAGAAGAAGATTTTTAAATGTTGCCATTATTTTTTCACTAATTCCTAATTATCTCCCCTTGAAAGAGGGCGTGGCCCTTCATTTGAACAAACTTGAATCCCCTTTACCCAAGGATACTTTGTGGCAAGTTTGGTTGAAATTGGCCCAGTGGTTCTTGAGAAGAAGTCGAAAATGTGAAAAGTTTACAGACAGACAGACAGACGGACGCCGGACAAAATGTGATCAGAAAAGCTCACTTGAGCTTTCAGCTCAGGTGAGCTAATAAAAAGTCAATTCTAGACAGAAAACCTATTGACTGTGAACATGAAGATGAATTCTTATCAAATCTAAACTTCAGACTTTATTTAAACTTCCTAAGAAATTTCAGTAATCTTAATGCCCCGCTATTTATAATATCGTCTACAATCCTCCCATTAACAATGTAGCAAAAAATCCAGTGATTTCATTTTTCCAACTTTATTTTGATTTTCTTTCTAGCCTTCCTGTTCTCACCTCCATTATGTAGCTCTCTGCTGACTGTAGATGAGAATTTGTCACTGCGGGATTGGCTTCCACAACAGAGCTTGATTGTCCTTTTGTCTGAGAACTCTCCGAATCGGAATCTCTTTTCTGAAAAAAAGTGGACATACTGAAAAGAATGAATTTTGAATATACATGCAACAGTGTTTGAGTTTTACTAATTATCTTAAATTTATACAGTAAAAACAGTTTTGATTGGATATTAATAACTTTTAATTACCTCCAATTTTTCATAATTACACAAATTTCCTAACATTTTGCATTTTGATGCTTGCTGGTAACAAGGATATTAAAAAAACCCTTGCCTTAATAATGATCTTTTTTTTGCTAGGTAGTTTCTTCATCTCAGTCTTTGTTGTTTTTGATACAGACTATCAAAAGGAAAAGATATTAAAATTACCAATACAGACACTAGATTTTGCTGGAAAAAAAAATATCATGGAAAGTGAAAAGATTTCTTACAGCTTTTAACATCAGTGAAAATTTGAATTTTTATTGCTGAAAAACTAAGTGTGCAATTTTTATCATATTATTAATTATTGAGCACCATCATATTGTTTTTGAGAACTTCTTGATATTATATTCATACCTTATCCACTTCATCATATAGATCTCCTTCTTTCTGGAAAATACAAAGAAAGTATAACAACATAACATACAGAGAGAAAGAGAAGAGAACCAGGCAAGGCTTCAATTAAAAGTCTGTCTTTTCTTTGCAGTTACTTGGCTCATTAAATTTTACTAGTTTTCTGAAAAATATAATTCTGAAACTTTATTAGAATCTACATTAATGTCACACTCAAAATTTTGTTTTGGAGCAAATTGCTGTAAACCAACTTTTATTCACGAGCGAGAAATATCTGCGAGTTTCGCGACCTTCTCTAACTCGCGAATATTTCTCGTCGCGAACCAATTTCTTCACCTACGTATTTATGTAGAATATTGCCTAGGTCACGAATATTAGCAGTCATGGATAGATTCTAAAGAATCGCGAATAAAAGATGCCGTGAATAATAGTTGGTTTACAGTAAAACAGATGAAGATGGGTAGCTGCCATGAGGAAAGAAATATTTTAATTTAGCCCTAAAAATCTCTTTCTATTGTAAAGATCTTTATACAGCAATGACATATCCATGCCCTCCAAAAAGTCAAATTTTGAAAAACTCTTGAAATGTGCACAATTGTATATGTTTTATATTCTGAATTTACAAAATGCAATATCGATTGGAGAAAAAATATTGGCATTTTCTTGGATATCTAAAAATTGACAGGTCATAGGGATATATTTTTTTTGACAGAAGCTCAACTATGAAAGATATAGTTAAATATAAAAATTCATGGAAAACATAGGTTTGTGGGTGGGGATTACATTACCCACAAAAATTTAACCCACACAAAATATAGATTCCAAAGTACCTCTGAAGAACTAAGAGCATCTAGGAGATTTTTCTTGCTAAGGCCACCACTGTTTGATGAGGGTCCTCCTTCATACTGAATCTTTAGTTTGGCTAAGTTTGTTTCTTCATCTGTAATGTTCAATACTTCTTCACATTCAAGCAAGTTTTTTTTCTCATATACATGTAGATGTCAAGATGTGGTCAAACAACAAAACATCAGAAAATTTTTTAATAATTTTTTTTTTTCAGTTTGCAGCTTTCATAATGATTTTAATCACACAAACAGATTTATTATAAAATCAGAATTAAAACAGCCATGATGTAATATAATTTTTATTATCATACAGGGTTTATGCATGAGCTTATATTCTATACTTCGATAATTCATAATGCAAAAAATATACGTGGCAGTAAATGATTACCTGCAGATTGACGAAGGCTTGGCACGTGTTCTGCTACACTGCGGGCTTTTGCCTGTGAAGGTGGTGGTCCCATTCTATTGACCGTGGGCATAAAATGAGCCCCCTGACACCCAGAGGAACCAACTGATCCCCCAGCTCCGTACTGCTTCTTAGCTGGTGTTGGTAACTGTATAGTACAAATTGACAGGTAATACCACTGGAGAGTATATTTACACACTGGAATGTGAAAAATCATCAACTTTACATTCCTGATAATAAGTTTGTAGCTCACCGTTTGTTCTGCAGTTTTGAAGAAAACAATCATGTCCCTAAGTGCACGTCCAAATACGTCATATTTACTGACATGAGGTCTTACCCATACTGGAAGCTGACGTATTGCTGATTCCCCAGCAAATCTACAAAATAATGACATCATTGACATAACAACATCCTAAACAGACATCTACCTATAATAATTATTCATGAAGAGGAAAAAGTAAAAACTTTTCAAACACAAAATTCCTGTTGTTTTTCTGTACCTCTCATCACATAATAGAATGGCTCCATAATCGTTTCTGTGTCGGATGACCCTCCCCACTGCTTGATTGACAGCTCTAGATGCCTGCTGTCTGTACCATTCCTGTCCTGACAAGCTCTGAACATAAACAAAAGAAAATATCAGTACCACAATTCTTAAATCATTGACAGATTCTGAGAATCATGTTCTACCATCACCTCCAAAACCATTTGAAATCTTAACTGATACAATTTTTACAGAACAATATGTGTGTTAAAAATGCTTTTAGATATGACCAACTCTTGATCAACAACATACAAGTACACCAAAAAAGTGTGAAAAAAAAATACAAACAAGATATCAACTTCCTGTAGTACATGAACTTTCTACAACACAATCAAAGCCACAGTAACAAGGAAGTTCTGGCAGTTTGCAGAAAATGAAAATCAAATGCCAGATATCCTCTGATCTGCTCACGTAGATCTCCAATTAGAGTGAAAGCCAATGTTACAAGGAAGCTTAAGCAGCTTGCAGAGAATGAACATAAAATGGCAGATTAAAACTCCCATTCATAGATGTCACATGAAATACATAAACAGGATGTGGTGAACAGATTTCTATTTTACAGATTGATGGTTGAACTCTGAGTAATTTTCCTAATAATCGATCACATGACCAGGAACTTTTTATTCATACTATCATTCTTAATTGATATTGCTGAATATGTACAAGTAGGTATGAAATTTTATTTTAAAGGATTATTTCATTTTAAATCGAAGCCATATCATATTGCTTTTCTTACTTTTCATATGTACATCTAAATGGATAGAGTTTATCCATATTAAAAATTTCAATTAAATTTAAAAAAATAAAATGTGTCAATTTAAAATCTTATGAAAATTAAGTAAAAATTTGATCATCAAGATTCACTGAATATCAGAGAGGGCTTTCCCTATGACATTTTGAGAAGAAAATTTTAAAACTAAAACTGCAATTTCAATGGCATATGCCATGAAAAAACAAAATTCTTTTTAGGAAAGCAAAAGATATACAATGTAATGGCAAATTAGTATGTTCTCACTCTGCTATCTAATATATACTGGAGTATGAAAATAAGAATTGAAGCATCTTTTGCAGATACGGAGGCCTGTACTTATATAGATTTAAATCCTTGTGACCCTGGCAATACACAGGTATCATGACAAGATCACTTACAAGTGTACACAATGTTCAAAGGCAGCCGAACAAGGAATTTGTTGACTGGAATTGAATCTGAGAAAAATTCAAGCAACATAATTCAGTGTCTGATCTAGTAAAGATAAGCAAAATGGAAGACAGTCTTCAATGCATCTTGCATCCAGAACAGGCATGTGCTTCGTACTGTCTTCAGTGTAGTGTTCCCGTCTGTGGTAATTGTATTACTGAATGTCACCAACATCATGGCATGGCTGACATTGAAGAAATGGAAAGCATTAAGCAAGTAAAGAGAAGAGAAATGGAGGAAGACAGTGCTGAAATTGAGGAGATTCTTATTCCACAATTCCGGAAAGAGGACACTAACATAGAAAATCAAATATCAAAAACCTTAATCAGATACGAAGCTTTGGAAGAAACGGCAGAAAGTTACAGAAGCGAATGGCACGATGCAGTGGACAAGATGTTTGACGAGTATCATAGAGAAATACACAACGCAAGAGACAAAGATATAGCCACACTGAAAAATGGTCAATTACAAATAAGGAAAACCCTTCTCGAAATGCCGCAGATCATTCAGCTTAACACAGAGGCACTCCAATCAGATAATAATTCCAACAAAATCATTCAATACAAATCCAAACTGAGTGCATTAAGGAACAGTCTTCCTAAATTTGAAGTAGGGATTCCAACATTTACCACTCCTCCCATACAGGTGGGGAAAGGACTCTGTGTGGAGTTTGGGGAAATCAGATCATTGCTTATCTCCATGAATTCTTTTGATTCTATGACAACAGGTCATCCAATAAAACGACTGCTTGACAGGTTAGTTATCAAGGCTGATTTCTCCTCAAATGTTGAAAATCTGTTGCGTATGGTTTACAATGGTAGGAATGAGGTCTGGCTCAGTGGGAAAGAGGGCAACATAAGTCATGTGAATATTCATGGGACCAATCTTGAAAGTCTTGAAGCAGTGATTACCAAATTACAAGACATCTCTGTGACTTCGGAGGGAGAACTGATCTACAGTGATTATCTGAACAAAACTTTGAACATTGTCAAAGGTAGTCAAACAGATATACTGCTGGAGATGGAGCCAGGATGGCACCCACAGGGAGTCTTCTGTACAAAAGTAGGTCATATCCTGGTAACCATGAGAACAGCAGGTGACAGTCGCTGCAAAATTGTCCGATATGAAGGAAAGGACATAGTCCAAGAAATTCAGTATGACAAGTCAGGAAACTCTCTTTTCAGTAGTGGTTATAAATGTGTGTTCTTAGCAGAAAATAACAATGGTGATATATGTGCCTCCGACACAAATTCCAGCTCTTTAGTTGTTGTGAACAAGGCTGGAGATTTGCATTTTGCATACCATTGTGACACTAGTTTGAGAAGGAAATCATTTGTCCCTGACCAAATTGTGACAGATTCCCTATGCCAGATTATTTTAACTGACTATGTCAACAATTGCCTACACATATTCCATAGGGATGGCCAGTATCTGAAATGTATCAGCCATCCTGATATTGACCTCCCTATAGCCCTAGCCATAGACAATGAAGACAGGCTGTGGGTTGGTCAGTACGTTTCAGGAAATGTCAAGGTCATTCAGTATATGAAATGACCTGAAAATGCTCTACCTTTTTGACCAGGCTCTGGGGCCATAAAACTTAGACAAGGTCACTTTTGATTTCAGTCTCACTTTTACAAATTAAAGGAATTATAGTGGAAAAGTGAGACTGAGATCAAAAGTGAGCTTGTCCAAGTTTTATGGCCTGGGTGCCAGGACTAAGTCTACCAATGGTTCAAAGTATCAAAAAAGATTATTTGTAATTTTCAGGATCAAGTGATAAATATCATTTTACAGAATAAAAGATCTAAAAACTGTAGCATATTCTCCTTTTTTGCAGTAAAAATTACTTTTTTCTAGGGAAATATTTATCTACATACAATTACTCTATAGGAATAGTTTACATACAAGCAGTGGATGGCGCTTCATGAAATAATACGCAAGTCTTGATATCTGAAACTTTGTCTTCATTCACTTACTGATCGCTAAAAATATAATTTCATTTTAGATTTAGCACTTTTCTTATATCACAAAACCAGAGTACTAAGTCTTAAGAATGATACTATTTATACATTCCTTGTGTCTGTCAGCATACGGAAGAATTCTGATGTATGTATGTATGTACTAACATCAGCAAGTGTTGCTCTTTCCTGTTCCATTTATACACAGGAAATGCAAAAGTACTCAATATAACAGTATTTAATAGAAATAAGTGTTTGAACTGTAAATACCAGGAAATCATACATGGTACAGATCTGCTATAAACTTTTGATTTTGATAATTATTTGCTTTTTTTAACAAGTACAAAGCAGTTTTATCACTTTTGGAATAAAAAATTATCAAAATGACATGTACCTTGAATCCCATTTTCCCTCTTGACTCATCCAAAAACTGCATTTTGAGCACCACTTTAGGGTCCATACGAGGAGGGAAAGGTAAACCAGTGATAATCACAGCCCTGCCATTGTTGTCTGCAAAGTCCAGGCCTTCACTTACCTTAAATGTTAAAAAAATAAGTACTTTAAAAGCAATACCTATGGAAAGTAATTTAGAGAAATATACAAGTACATGTATACTAGACAAAATTGCTAATATACAATCATAAAAAAAAAAAAAATTTTACTTTTTGAAAAGTTTTTTTAACATTTAAATATAAAAATATGTAACCATGATTAAAAAATCTTTAAATGCCCAAACTAGTAAATAAATAAAGGATAACAGAAGCATACCCATTTCATAGAAATGAACAAAAATCATGCTCACATTTTAGAGGAAAAAATTTTCATTTTCTTCTTTGAAATTGTGTTATGTTTGCATTCTTTAAGAACTAAGAAAAGACATGTATTTATCAAAGGTTTTAATAACATGTGTTCGTGTTTATTTATATCTGTAATCTATTGGCTGCAATACTGGTCACCTTGTCAGGTGACATTTAAATATTCATTGCACGGGTTTTAACTGACTGCTGTTAGCGCCAAAAGTTCTATAGCCATTCGAAGGCTCTTTTCAGTGCAGATAACTGAATCCCCACCCCACCTGCCCTTGCTTTTACATGTTTAATAAGATTTTATATTAAAAAATACTGTTTTGTTTTGTAGAAAGGAAGACAAAGAAGAATTGTTGATGACATTTGTACATATGTGTAAAAAGTAAACTGCACTATCAGAGCGCTTCACATCCTAATATACGTGTTTGTGTATATTTTATAAATTATTTATGTTCGTTTGAGTGGCACGAATAAGAACATAAATGACCAGGTATGCAGCGTTTGACAATAGAAGAGCATAGTAGGGCAGTTCGTATGGTGTCTGCAAGGTGTTCCTTTGGAAACGTTTTTAGAAATGAAACGGTTCAAATATTGTTGTTAGAGTAGCTCGACTAGATCAAGGAATGTAAAAATGTCTTCTATGGGTAAAAATGACATTTAATAGACATCAAATGACTACTGCAAGATTGTACCATAGAACTGTGTGATGGATTGGGTATAGATGCCAAAGCACCAAGTGACTAATAGGCAGCATTAGACACTTTGCTTGATATCATTTGAGAGACAGGGTCATTATTGTTCCTTCATCAATAGGGTCATCATTGTTGTAGCAACCTCTTTGACAACCATTGATAATCACCAACCTTACAATGGAATCATTGGATTTTGTGGTTGTTCAATGTTTGTGGAATTTGTGGGTACCTCTCATCCATGAATTAATGAACTAGAATTACAAAGTCATATTTCCTCTTGTAGGTATAAGAGAAAACAAGAAAGTACGTCCCCACGAACCTAAAAAAATACGAGCAATCCACAAAAATTGGCCACCACGAATTTTAATGATTTTACAGTATATCAACGCACAAAAGGTGAGCAATCGGCTTTGGGAAATTAGTTTGCAAGTAAGAAGTCTATTTGATGGTGTTGTGTTGAAATTAAGACATCCCCAAACTTGACTGTAGTAGGCAAGACGGCAATTAAGATTAACTTGTGTCAATGAGGCAAATGTCATTTTTGCAAACGAAAATACTGAATGGGTCATGTGTTTGCAATTTTGTCCAGTGCTAATAGATATTGACTGTTTTTTTTTAATCCCTTTATTGTAAAATTATGTAAATTGATAACCTGAAATTTAAAATATTCAGATCTCAAGGATCCATGTGAAACAACTGGCTTGGCAACATTTAAAAAATCATGAACAGAATTTTTCATTACCTTTCCCCTGCAAACAGCTACAAATATGGCTCCATTTAGGGCTGGGTCATTAATTTTATCATAAAATTCTTCAATGACCTGAATAATTAAATGTAAATTCATCAGACTGACATACATGTATTTTTAAAACATACAAACATGCACAGAGAGAGAGAGAGGGAGGTTCTTACGTCACTGAAAGCCTGTTTTCCCCTTGGTTCAACCAGAATAGGCTTATACTGTGTAATTGAGTTGTATACACCATTTTGCTGTAAAAAAAAAAAAAGTTTGCAAACATTTACATGTATATGTTCCAAACAAAGGAAACACGTTACCTGTAGAAAGATGTACATAAGAAAACTTACGTGCCAGTTTTCAATACATTTCTCCATCACAGGGTAAGAAGGGAAAAACACCAGGAGACCATTAGGCACCACTCTGGCAAAATTTACTGAAATGATGCACAGATCAACTGTTTGAAATGAGGCACAGTGCTACTTTGAAAGACATGTATTTAGTGTAAGAAGTGTTTATCAGTTACATCTATATTTTTTTCTCTTTGTTCAAGTATTGGTTTAAATATGATTTTGTACAAACCTAATGCTTTTCCTAAAGAGGCTTGGTAATTTTCATTGAACCTACAAAGGACAAAAAAAACCTTTAATTACTTAATCTATGAAAGAAAGAAATATCAATGAAGTTCAACATCGCCTATCCTCAGTTAAATCATGCAATCTGATGCATCACTATTTAGAGATTAATCTGCAGCAACTATCAGTATACTGTGGTCCCAACTTTTTCTTTTGTTAGAATAAACACAGTATGTGTGTAACAGAATGAATTGAAGATATACTAATTAAAGCAATTTTCAGTTTCAAATTATTTATTGTGATCATTTTCACAAGAATTGATATGTACATTTTACTATTTTCTTTGTGGATCCATCAACTGACACCTTTGGTTGTGTTAATTCCGGTAGGAGATCATTATCCCTAGATTGGATTTCGAGCTACTCTTGATGCCATAACCAGTCTGCAGTATTTCATTATCAACCAGACAATGCATGCATGCATAAACTAAACACATACTAGGATACCTTGTTTGGTAGTTCGAGTTGAGTCCCACTCCATCAGGGCCTTTATTGAGAGTCCCCACCCACACCTGATGCCTGTCAATCACATGGGGGTTCTCCAAAGTCACAGGGAAGGGACTGCAAAAACAAGATTAGTTTAGTGACTAAAAAGCTTTAAGACAGCTTTTCCTTTTCTATCTTTATACATGTACTTTGTATGAAGCATTTTAAATTCTATATGTTAAAAATCAACACATACATCTGCATCTCGGCACTAAAGGAGTCGAGGGGAGACAAGGTACCACTGGTCAGGATCACACACTTCACTCCGTGGGCAGTCAGGTCAAGCATACTATGTCCAGGGCTAAAACACCAGTAACTTAAGGTTTTACCTGTAAAAAAAAGCCTACAGTCAAACTAAATCTATACAGTTCTGTTCTTCACTTGTATGAAAATGCTGCACAGATTTCATTTATGTGCAGGTATTTAACAAAGTCCCCTACTTACAAATAAGAATTAAACAGTTCTTTACACAAAGAAACTCAAAACACTGACCCATTTTGTCTGCCCCTGCTGGGGTAGCCCAGGAGTCTATCTTTTTCTTTTTGTTGGGTTGGACGGGCTGGATATGTACCTAAAGGCAAAGAACATAAACATGATAGGACATCAATTTAGAGAAAACGCCTCTGCACTTACAACCCTACAGTATTTCAAATCAAAAACTTATAAAGTCTAGAGGACTTTGGAAGCAACTTTAATCACTGTACACAAGAATTTAAATTTCTTTTCTTGCCCAACCAATACATTCCAAGTATAATCAGATTTACCTTGTAAGACTTGGCTAGCATCTGCTGTAGCTGATATACAGATCCCCCATCTGGTACCTCCCTGCTGAATACTATCTAAAATAAGAGGCTTATTTCAAAATAGTCTGGTGAAATACCACATAATACAGAGTTTATATGTGTGGTTCTCAGTGATGATTCTGTGAATTGGCCAAAATATCTGAAAAAGTTTGAAAGTCGAGGGGCTGATGAAATATGGGCTTTAGCAATCCCAAAATAGGTTGAAATGAGGGACAAAAATTGAAGTGTAACAGTTTGTTTAAAAACTTTTACATCTTGACCTGGCTGAATAAACCGACACGCCATTGTAAGGAAGTCTCAATTATCCCTGCTTTTGTGTTTACCTTACTTGAATATATAAGAAAACGTCTGGATGATGCAGATTAGATCAAAACACGGATGAAACAACTTGAATTTTTTACCCGGACAAAAATGGAAATGGATCGCTGCAAAAATCGAAAGTATCGAAATATCGGAAAGCACTCGTAAATATCAGATTCTTGGATTCAAATTAGCGGAATTCCGCTTAATATCGGAAGAGAATCATCACTGGGTTCTACAGAGAGGATTTATATGGGGTTTCAAGATTCTGCATGTTCAATCCTTTACTATTTTGAATATAATGT